TCTCTTGCTTTGAATAAGTCAGAATGATTTGACAGCTATAATTTAAAAATAGGTTCTGTCTTAGAACTGAATCCAGATAAAGTACATTTTCTATTTTCCTGCTTGAATACGTAGGGCTCTATATATCCTTTATTTTCATCTGTGTGTGTGCATATGTATGTTTTCATTGATAAGGGAAGCAACAACTTTCTTTTTTTTTTTAAACTGTCCCTCTGGTCCAGTCACATAACAATGGGAGGCAGTGACCAGGTCACAGAAGAACCTTGACCTTCATTGGCTGCTCAGGGTTCTGAAGCTCCCACTGTGCTTCTAGGGAAATAGCCTAAATCTGTACCTTTGCAATGGGCCCACTCTGGAGAGGCGACAAGAGGAGCACCTGGAGACGTGTGATCAGGTGTTGGGAGGTTGTGATATGCACTTTCTAGCTCACTGATTTTCACAAAGCGTTTCCATTAGCCACATCAACTGTGTTCAAAATTACCATTTATTATGGTATTGTAATCCTTCAAACACCAAGACTTTATGAACACAGCCTCTAAAACTAGGTGGCTTTCATACAAATAGCAGTCTAATGATGTACTCTCATGATCTGTGCCATTAAGGATTTGCAATTAAATGTATACTTTTAATATCAAAAAATAAATTTAGCAAGTGATGCCAGTGAAAACGGCAGAGTAAGGAAATCCAAAAATCCAATTCTACATTCAAGCAGTGAGAATACTGGCAAAAAAAAATATTGCCAGAATTAATATTTTCAGAACTCAGGAAATTAACCAGAATTTTTCAGCAATCCAGGAAACATTTATTCAAGACAAACTGCAAGATATATGGCATTTGACCATGCCCTATTCCAGCCCACTTCCCCAACTCTGCAGTAGGCTGGAAAACTATCAGCCTGTAATCGTGGTGGAAACCAGCAGCCTGGCAGCCAAAGGAGGGAGAAGAACATGATTGGATCTCCTTATTTGACCTAGATTTTCATTATTTGACCTGCCTAGTGGTTCCTTGGAAGGCCTTACTTGCAAGGCTGTCAGTATTTCCTGACTTGGAGATTGCCCAGTGCAAAGAGGCTTTTTTTTCTCCAGGGATGTTTGTCAAAACAATCAGTCAAAATTTTAGCATTGTGGATACTGAGACGGTAGATAATAGTTGGGATAAACAGCAGGATAATTAAGGAACTTAAAAGGGTAAAGCTGGGGAAGGAAATGTCCTTAGGAGATTTGGAAAGCTCCAACAAATTTCAGAGATATAGATAGCCATGCACATGCCCAGAAAAGATCCGAGGGGCCCTAACCTCTCACCTTAGGCTAATTTTGAGGCTCTGCCAAGCAAAAGTAAAGGCTAAAGCAGAGTTGTAAGGTACTGGCTGAGTGTAGAAGGTATGCTCCAATACACACACACACACATGCGCGCGCACACACACACACACACACACACACACACACACACACACACAGCCCCTTGGAAAAGACCAGGAGATGAATAAATTCCAAGCTAACCAAGCAGAATACAGATTTGACAGAATTAGCTCATAAAAGTAACTAAACAAATAATAGCAACAAACAGCAATAAGAACAGGCCCTAGAGAGGAGAGAGAATCTGATGCCTAAAAGTCCCACTTTATAGTATTTAAAATATCCAGTTTTCAACAAAAATTCATGAGACATGCAAAGAAACAAGAAAGTATGGTCCAAACACAAAGAAAAAAAAAAAGCAATCAATAGCCCCTTCCCTAAAGAAGCCCATACATTGTACTTACCAGAAAAAAAAAAAATTAGATGAGCTATTTTTAAATATGTTCAAAGAACTAAAGAAACCGTATTTAAAGGACTAAAGGAAAATATGAAAAGAATGTCTCCCCAAATAGAGAATTTCATTATAGAAATTATTTTTTAAAATCAGCTATAAATTCTAGAGCTGAAAACTGCAATGATTGAAATGAAAAATTTATTAGGGCTCAACCGCAGATTTAAGCAGGCAGAGGACACAAGCAGCAAACTTGAAGACATGTCAAATGAAATGGCCCAATCTGAAGAACAAAAAGAAACAACAATGAATAAAAATTAACAAGCCTCCAAGAGCCATGGGACACCATCAAGGATAGCAGCATACACATAAAGGAAATTTCAGAGAAAGAGAAGAGAAAGGGGCAGAAAGAATATTTGAAAAAATAGTGGCCCCAAACTTCCCACATCTCTCACCAAGTGTGTCCTGAGGGCTGGCCCCACAGGCATGCTGAGAGGGCCTGAATGAAGCAAGAGGACGGGGTGCTGCACGGCGCGCCCCATTTCAGGAAGGCCTCTATCTGAGACTAGCTGACTGTTAACCCACATTTTAGAAGATATTTCTTATTGGTTAACAAATCTGTAGGCTCTACGACTTTGATGTGTCAAAATGAAAGAACAGCCAACCAAATGAAACGAACCGTGAAGATCCTTGAATAAAACGGGACATAGAATTGACTTAAAGTGTATTCAAACGCCCTTACCCTGATTCGCTGCCCTTTTTAACAAAAGTTAACATGTACCAACATCGCTTTGCATTTACTTCCTTAATACTAAATCAATGCTAGCAAAGAGGAATGGAATTCCCAATAAGTATGTGGCACTTCGTGTATCTGAGCCAAATCAGTAAATCTTCCTGGTACCTTTTGAATTTGTTTGATTTTTTCCACTGGTGACTTGTTATTCACACTCCTAGTTGTTTATTCACATAACTAAACTAAGTGTGCTGAAAATAGCTCCAAGTTCTGTGTGAGGTTACAATATGTGTGTGTGTGTGTGTGTGTGATTTTGTAACTATATTTCATATATATTGCATATGTAGAGGGAGGTAGGGAAAGAAAGAAAGAGAGGGAGGGAGGCAGAGAGGGAGGGAGAGAGATTCCACAGGTATTTTGGGGCTTGGGTTTGGGACCTGCTGCAGTCTTCTGCTGCCTATACACAGGTGCACAAAATATATGAAGTATTTTTCTCCCACCTTCTCAGTCACACCACCAAATTTAGCCCTTTTACAAGTAATACGTATGCTATCTGCTGATGCATTTTGCTGTGGATACAAGATGTTTCTTTTACTTCCTGAGACCTGACAGTAGCCACACCAGGCTCGCCTTGTGAGCTTGGTAACTTTGTAAAGTCAGTTAACGGGGAGCCTGAAGGGGGCTGTTCTCGCCACGGCACTGAGAAGAAAGAAACAGCGGGGAAATTGTGAGTCTTGCCAATTGTGGGTTCTGCGACTCTGGGATGCAGAAATAAAAAAAAAATTAAAAGGCCAGTCCTGGCCTCGGTGGTTTCTTTTTCTCCGGGTCCAACACTTTGGACCGCAGTCAACCCCAGCAGCTGGCATCCCAGACGAGCCTTAGTAGGTCAGGTTACAGCCCTGGCCATCCGCGCTCAGCCTTCATCTGTACCCACCACACACAAGGGGCCGTCTGAATGAGACTTTAAGAACTAGAGCTCTGCCTATTCTTCACTGTGGGCAAGATGCATCTTTGTTCCTCAGAAGACAATGGCTGTGCTCCCTTTCCCCTCCGTTGAGCTCTTGGCAACCTACAAAAAGCAGGGCATCTGCCTCTGAGCTCCTAATTTCCCACTGAACTCACTTTCTTCCCATACGCGTACATCAGGTCTCCAAATGCTTCTGAATATCCTTGTAGCTCTTGACTGCATCCCACGAGCTCCGTAGCTGATGTGCGTGTCCCACGGCTGAGTGAGTCTGGGGAACTGGCAATGCCATCGTGACGAGCTGGCAGGGCCGGATGCAAGAACTCCCATCAGCTGGTCCACGCGTTCCAGTCAGTCCTGAGAACAGTTTTCTTGTCCAACCATTTTGGATAATGTGGACCTTCAATTACGATGGAAATACATGGTGGGCTCCTAATACAAGCCAGGAGCGTGCAAGGTCATTGTGTAAAGCCAAGTCACACAGAGTCCCCGTCTCAGGGGTACTTCAATTTCGTGAAGAAGCACGCCAGGCGTGTGATAGTCACTCACGCACTGAACAAATGTGTCTTGTGACTGTCACGTGCTGGCCTATGACAGGTCATATCGCCCTTGACTCCTGGGTGCCTCTCACACCCAGGTCCTATCTGTGGTGAGTCCTGTCAGCTCTGCCTTCAATCCACATTCAGAATCCACTGCTTCTCGTCACCCTGCCTCGAGCCATTGGCGCCTCCTGCATGAATTATTGGAACGATTCCCCCACCCGTCCTCTCTTTCTACCCTTGTGCCTCTCTCTGTTCTCCACACAGCAGCCCAGACAGGCGCTTTGAAAATGTGAGTCAGTGATGCGATGCCCTTGCCCCAAACTCTAATGGCCCCCACACTGACGAGAAGTAAAAGTCAAGTCTCCTCAACGGCCCACAAGGCCTTACAGAATCGAGGCCACTGCCACCCGTCTGACCTCACTCTCCTCGGACCACAACCTCCTTCCTTGCTGTCCCTCAACATATCCCCCACCAGGGTGCTCCCAGCTCAGGGACTCTGCACTTACCGTCCCCACCTGGAACTTTCTTCCCTGGGATGGGCGCCCAGGTTACCAGTTTGTTCCAGTTTGTGCTTAAAAGTCACGCTCTCAAGGAGGCCTTCTCCGACAGCTTCAGGTATGCTCACTTCACGGTCATCTTGTCTATCCATATCCCCACCGACACCCCAACCTGCATTATTTGGAACGAAATCTCACAGTATACCTTTTCACATACGTTTCAAAAGTAAAGATATTTTATTTAAAAAAATAACCACAATACCTTTATCATAGCTAAAAAAATTAACACTAATGTCTTAATGTTATCCAATATCCAGTTAGTGTACAAATTTCCCCCAATGAAAAAATGCATGTTTTCTAAATTTGTTTCCATTAAAATTCAAACAAGGATCTCTCTTATGGTTTTGTTTTGTCTGTCTGTTTTCTCTTTCTCTCTGTCTCTCTCCCTCCCTTTTTCCCTCTCTCCCTCCTTGCCTCTGTCCCAGTTTATTTGTTGAAGAAAGTGAGTGGTTTGTCCTGCAGAATTTTACATATTCCAGATTTTATTGATTGTACACTCTATATTTCCTACAAATCTAGATGCTTGATCAGATCCAAGTCCAAACTTTTAGCAAGAAAATCCATCGGTGATACTAGGCACATAATGTCCTTTTGCCTGTCTTGTGTTTGAAATTAGCAGACATCGATAGATCCAGCAATGCCTGGATCCCTTACTTCATTAGAGATGAAACAATGTTGATATTCAGCCCTGTCAATCCTTCCTCGTGTTTTGTCAGCTGGAAGAGATAAGAATAAGTCAAGAAATAGTGTGTCAGGATGCGTGAGGTCACCCAGGAGGGGGATAGAGAGACAGCCCTGGGGAATATCAACGTTTCAGGAAAAATGCGATGAAGAGAAGCTGGAAAAGAACCTGAAAAACAAAAGTCCTGGAAGGGTGGAGGGTGCCATCAAAGAAACCAATACGGAAGAAACTTTTCAAGAAATAGGGAGGAGTTCACAGTATCAGATGTCACAAAGATATCAAATAAGATAGACAGAAAAACATCACTCGGAAACAACAGCATCAAAGTATGCTCTTTACCACAATTCCCATTATTGTATTTGAAGAAACAAAAGGAGATCACATTTATTTAGTGCCTGAATTTATTTAGACACCTCCCCCCTCCAAAACTGGCTTCCACATGAGGGCTTCTACCACAAGGGGACGTTGACCTATCAGGTGAGTGGATAAGGCTGGTGCCTTCAGTCCCAGAGGGCTGAGTTTTCCAAGGAGAAATGAGTGCTGGGCAACGGACGCCAGCACTTCCATGAGGAAGCCATGCCTAGGACTATGTAACCAGCCTTGATTGTGACGATAGGCGAACTTCCTGAAAATCACCAGGTGGGGAATACCCACCTGGGGAGAGAAGCACAATCCAAAATGACCCGGATATTGAGTGTTAAAATTCCAGATGAATGAATTGTCAGCTAGGGAGACAACAGCAAGTGCCCAGTGGGTGGTTGAGAGTTGAGGTTGAGACAGGACCGCCCTGAAGAAGGCGTCCTAGTGAGTGCCCAGCATGGGCCACTGTGCCATGGGCTCCAGCGACAGTGGGTGGGTTGTGGGCTCTGCCAGGCAGTTCAAAAACTATCTGTTGAAAAGTAGTTGTGTGATAGAAAAGATCAAAGTTAATAAGAAAAACCCCATGAACTATTCTAGTAAATTTAAAGCAATAATATGAACCTTTTCCCGCATAACAAGGACCAGAAAAAAACACAGGTTTCAGACCCAGCTCTGCTTCTTATCAAAAGGAACTAAGGCAAATTACATTAAACCTTGAGCTTTTCTAAACATTTTATTATTATTATTATTATTATTATTATTATTATTATTATTATTATTATTTGCATTAGGCTTGTAAAATAGAGATGGCATTTCCCATCTCATAGTTTGTGTTTGGAATAAGTAGGTATATGTTTTAAACTATCAAAGAACCACACCCAGAATAAAAAGTCTACTCTTTGAGTTTTAAAAAGTTTAAACAACCAGGCCTGAGGCCATATAACCAGGTAATGTCTGGGCAGGTTGCAGGCTCTGCATACCTGGCCCTGACACTGAGCTCCCCCTCTGCCACCACGCTGCCACCCTTTCCTGGGCTCCATGCTAAGGGCACAAACAACACTCTGACTGCCCAACTCTTGGCAGATATCTGCGGCTGTGGCAACATCTCTGCCAGCTGGAAAGCGAGCTCCAAAAAAAGTAGCACTTACCAGCCTCAAGCTCTAAGAAAAGAGATTCATTGCAAAAGGATCAAAAGAAACAAAGGAAAATCACTTATTCCCTCCCCTATAGCCTGCTCGCCCCCTAATTAGCAACAGGGTCATTTGGAAATCTCAGACTAGCAAGTGACCTTAAAAGACTTTTGGCAGCAGTTTGATCAGTGTTCATATTGGTTTTGGAAGTCATGTACTAATCTGGGAAATATTCCTATGGCTTTCACCAGGAAGTAGGTAAACGGTTAGCCAAAGAATTTCCAAAGCGTGGAACCTGGTTTGCCAAAGAGATAAAAAATTTCTCCCAAAGACCTTAGACTTTGCCAGAATTCTTAGAGCAGCAGGGCTCCTGGTATAAAAAGAACACACATAACTAACATCTCAGGATGGGAATTAAAGTCCAACCAAATATGACTATGGAGGAGGCTTTTAATAAAAATTTATCTGTAAGGGCCGGCCGAGTGGCTCAGTTGGTTAAGAGCTCGCTCAAGGGTTTGAGCTCTGGGCAACAGCGGTTCGAGTCCCGGCCCGAACTGAGTAGCCGCTGAGCTGCCAACAGGTGGCAGGATGGCTCAGCTAAAAAAAAAAAAACAAAAACATTTATCTGTAAAGCAAATAAAGGTAACTATTAAAGTCTCATAGCTAATAAGTGCTGAGCAGGAATTTGAATCCTGTCCTCTTCATTTCCAAAGCTTGTGCCCTTATCACTATGGTGGTTAATTCTGTGTGTCAACCTGGCTAGGCCACGGAGGTAACTGTTATTTCTGTGCGTGTCTCTGAGGGTGTTTCTAAATGAGATGAACATTTATATCAGACAATCGAGTAAAGCAGAGTCCCCTTCCCAGTATGGGTGGGCCTCATCCAACCCACTGAAGGCTTGAATGGAAGAAAAAGGCCAGGTAACTGGGTTGTGACGTTGGTTAAAATTTACTAAAAATCACTGAGTGGTATATTGCTATGAGCAGATTTCATGATATATAAATTATACCCCAGTAATGCTGTTTTTAAAAAGAAAAATTTATTTCCTTAAAACAGTTAATTAAGTCAATGAACTTTAGCAAGACTGATCAAGGGAAAGAAAAGGGGAAAATACAAATTACCAATATCAGGAATGAAAAAAGAAACATCAGTACATATCCTGCAGATACTAAAAAAGATAACAAGAGTACAATACAAACAACTTTACAACTCTAAATTTGACAATTTATATGAAAGAGGCAAATTCCCTGAAAAATACTACTAACCAAAGGTAACACAAGAAGAAATTAAAAGTCTTAGATAGCATGTGAGGCCGGAATAGATACCAAAACTTCACACATTACAAAATATATACATGCAAAAATATTAAATAAAAAAAATTAGCAATCAAACATAACAATATACAAAAAAATAATATATTACTACCAAGTGAATTTATTCCAGGAAATTAAGGGCAGCTGAATATTTGAAAAATAGTCAACATAATTCACTGCATGTGGTTTTAAAATGCCCACTAATGCTTTAACATGCCGCTCTTCAATAGTTCCTGTCTCCTTAATGTGAGCTGGACTTAAAGACTTCCTTTTAACTAATAGAATAAAACAAAGTGATGGTACCTGACTTTGGAGACCACGCCATAAACGGCACTGTGTAAACAGCTTTGTCGTGATGATGCTCAAGCAGCCATGTGAAAATGTCCACTTCATAAGGAACCGAAGCCTTTGCCACCAGCTGGAGAGGAACGGAGGCCTCCCACCAACAGCCACGTCGGTCAGACTCCTTGCAAGTGGGTCCTGCAGCCCATCTAGACTCCAGATGACCACAACCCTGGCCACTGTCTTTCCTGTGACCTCACTGGGGACCCTGAGACAGAATCACTGAGCTAACCTGCTCCTGGATTTCCTACTCTCAGAAATTACATAAGAAAATAAATATGCTATTTTAAACTGCTAAATTTTGGGGTGATTTTTTACATGGCAATAGGTAACTTATATACCACAATAACTTACAAAAGAGAAAAGATATATATAGATAGATAGATAGATAGAGATAGAAAAAAAATATATAGATATAGATATATCTATCTATATCTATGTATATCTATCTCTATATCTATATCTATATATCTATATATCTATATCTATATCTATATCTATATCTATTGTGTCTGTCCAAATTTTACCTCCATTTTGAAAAACTGGATATCTGTGTTTTCCTGTATTGACCTATACTTCTCTGTATATTGTGGATACAATTTCTCTGTTGAAAATATGTAATTCAAATATCTCCCCTTCTCTATAGTTTTTATTTCTGATCCCATAATGGCGTCGTGATGATTTTATGTGGTTAGTTCTTTTTCTGTCCTATATGAGGAATCTTCGCCTTCTAGAAGGTCTTGAAGGCGTCCTACTTTGTTTTCTTCTAAAATACTTACGGTTTTGCCTTCCATGTTATTCTCTTGGGTGGGGGTATTTGTGCTAGAACAGCAAGCAGTGTGAAAACATGGCCCTTCAGATGATGTGCGGGGGTGCCGGGGTTGTAGAGGCAACTCTCTGTTCTCAGGCTTTCCTGGCACAAAAGAGAGAGAGAGAGACAATAATCTGATAGCCACCTGATTTAATAGGAATTCAGCTCAGTGCTCCGGGATTGCAGGACTTAAGGGGAACCACACCCCTTAAAGAATTCCATACGACAAACCCATTTCCCAGCCAGTCTACTGGTTGGTATATCTCGGGTATCCCTAAAATACCCCAGAGAGACAAGCCTCACCCCTGACTCCTGGTCCCAAGTTTTTAATCTGGGGACAACAGACCCACTGGAACTCTTTCTTAACCACAAATGTGTCCACATGACCCTCTGGGCCTGTAGCTCGTGCAAGCATGGCGTCTGGAAGATGATGTTATACAGGTGTGTTTGGGCCTCCATCTTCCCAGGTATTTTCCATGGCAAAGGCTGACCTTTAAATGCAGTTTAACGCTACCGACTGGCTACATTCACCACACTGAAGCTCTTCTCTAAGTTCCCCCACAGGCGTCTCACCCATCCACACGTGCTCTGTGCCCACGTCCGTTTCGCCCTGTGGTGTCTGCTGAGCGTGCAGCCCCGTCCTGCCCCTCACGCTGCTCATCGCCTGGATTCCTCAGCTAGCCCTGCCCCTTCCCCTCCACTTACTAGCCAGGGTCCTGCTTCAGCCTCACTGATACTAAGCCAAGGTCTCGCCGCCTGAGAATAAGGAGACTCTCGCCCCTGTATGAAGACTCAAGTCAATTTGACCTTAAATGATTTGAACTGTTGGGCCCTTGTCTTGGGGTGCAGCCCACCGCAGCCCTCACGCTTCTGCCTTACTGCCCTGTCCCTCTAGTATTTGAGGTGCCTTTGAGCAGAACCAAAGCACATTCTAATATCTATCTCATTTTGCTTTTATCTGACAACTTGAAGAAGTCACTGTCACTGATTTTTTTTACTTGGGTAAAATATTTACGTGATAAAATTTGCCATTTCGCTTTTTTGCGTGTGTACTTCAGTGACACTGACTGTCCACAATGGTGTGAAACCATCACCACTATCTAGTTCCTAACCTTTTTCATCTCTCCAAGCAGGAACTTGTACTCATGAATCTATTACTGATTTTAAATGATGAAAGTTTACATTTTCCGGATTACTGATTTGAGATAAGGTGGATGTAGCAATCACTAGGTACAGCCTTTTCTTATATTTAAATTTTCATTATGGGATTCTTGTCTTGGGAAGGGAGGACTGAAAATTAGTCCTCAGCCTGGCCTGGAGGCCATGGCTGCTCTGGAACTGACCTTACTGTGGTTAGAAGGGTTAGATCTCAGAACCAAGGCATTATGTGTGTCCTCTGTGTCACGATCAGCTTCCTTAGACATGCTCATTAGGCTCCATGCTTTGGGACAAATACAGAACAAGTGTTGAAGATGTAACCAGGAAAAATATCTCAGCAATGCCACCCAGCCGCCGACACACACCCGCCCCATGCCTTTAGTGACACCATCACTGCCCAGGACGGTGTGAGGCAGGTCGATGGACGGAGTGGAATGTAGACACGGATGACACTCGTGAGAAACCGGTATAAACCTAGTGCTATCTGGCCAGGACATCTGTTTTGACTTTTTGAAGTTGTGATTGTGTTGGTCGTATATCACACGGGGCGGTGGTTAAGTACAGGGTGGACCCTGGAATTAGCTATCTGGGTTCCAACCAGAGCAATGCCTCTCACTAAGCCTTAGAGCTTCCTCAGGGTTTGACTTACCAAGGCAAGTTAACAAGCCTCTCGCAGTCTCAGTTCTCCAAGCCGTATAATGCACATAAATATTGTCACTGTGTCATGAGGGTTAAGTGAAGTAAACCTTCTAAATTGCTCAGCTCAGTGTCTGACCCATATGTAGAGCAATTGTTCTAATATTAAAAGGATAAGTGAAACAATTCAATAAATCATTTTCAATAAGTGAAGTGTTTTAGGTGCTGCTTTTGCGATGCACAAGTGTGGCTGAAAAGACTTAAGGGTTTTAATTAACAAGGCTGTTCCAAATGCCAAGTTTACAGATGATCCAAACTGTTTCTTTAAATAGCAGCTGGATGTCAAGTTTCTGCATGGAGCAAATGAAGCATTGCTTTCACCGTCTTTCCCTTCTGGTTCAGACAAGCGCCTGAACCCCAAGCGATATTCTAACATAGCCACACGGTCATGGTTACTCATCTATAACCTTGATTGAATCCATTAGTTTTGTGGGGAGGAGGCTTGGGCATTCATTAGTTACACGGGGAGTCCAGAGAAAAGTTCAAGTTCATGAGCAGTTTGTCCTTTGTACTGTTTGAGATTATTCTGACTCCATTTCGATGGATTGCAACAGCCCAGGTGATTGCACACCTGAACGTGTCCTTGGAATGTATGAGCCGCAAACATATGCCAACTATTCCAGCTATGTCTCCATAGTTCAGCACAAGTATCTTTTCGCAAACAAGAACCGAAACAGCCCTGGTCCCATCGCTAGCACGTGTTCAGCAGCCGCAGGCTCTCAGGCCATTACCCCCATCTCAGGTCAGAGGGTGAATACCCACAGATAAGGATGATTCAGACTGAAGGCTCAAACCTAAATATAGGTGACCCAGGAGAAACCACAGTGTCCATTTTAGAGTTTTTTAGAGATGGCAGACAGAATAGTAATTGGGTCTATTCATAACTAGGTCAATGATTTCCAAAGGCTTAAATATGTCCAATGGATGTGACCACCCTAGACCCCTATAGACTCAGCAGCCAAGATCTTGATCACAAGCAAGAAAAGGAAGAAGTTGGCTGCTCTTAAAATCTGGAAGACATTCACAGCCCAGAAAAAGGAGGTTCCCCTGACCTCTCTGAGGGATAATACTAGAGTCCAGACACAAGAAGAATCTAGCAGAACTCATACAGGGAGAGAGCTTAAAAGAAAAACAAAGAAACGAAACAACAACAAAACGTTCCGGTGGGACCTGACGTATAAACCGAGATCTAGTACATGAAGGTCGGTCACAGGTCTTGATCACACCTGGGTGGGGAGACACAGGACTGAGCCAGTGCTCCTATTCCCAGGCAGAGGACAGAAACACATTTTGGAAAACCACAGCAAGAAGCAGCCAGTGAGGCTACTGTATTGCAAGGATAAAAAATCATGGCGTATCCAGGTAGAAAAAACCAAGTTACATTTGGGGTTGGGGGGAGTCGGGCTCTCTATTGTAACCAGAAATGCCAAATGACAGTGGACCAATGGCTGTCAGAACTGTTACACACTCAAGTTGTCCTTCAAATATAAAGGCCAAAAATATTCTCAACCATGTAAGGATCTAGAAACTATTATACCAGTAAGATTTTTAAATACGATCTTTACACATAAGGCACAACAATAAAAGTGCTTAATATTAATAAAATCCATCCACCAATCTAACTACAGCATTCATTGGTGTTGAGTATTCATTCTATTTAAGTATATAAGTATGGGACTAAATCAATGTAGTAAATAGTGATTATAAGAAAATACATAAATGTTATTTCCATGGACACATTAAAAAAAAAAGATGTAATACCTAAAGCTTGCAAGGATGCCAAGAAACGACCACTCATAACACCGCAAGTCTGAATGCAAAATGGTACAGCCACTCGGGAGTGCGGCAGTCCTCACAAAACCAAGCAGATACTTTACCATACATCCTAGCAATTGCATTCTCGGGTATTTATACCAGAGAAATTTAAACTTATGTTCCCGGAAAGGCCTGCACATGAATGCATATAGAAACTTTATCTGTGACAACCCAAAACTGGAAACAATCCAGACACCCTTCAATGGGTGACTGGTTAAACAAGCTGGTGTAGGTACATCAGTACCGTAGAGTACCATTTGGCAATGAAGAGGAGCCAGCTACTGATGCACACAACAACTCGGATGAATGTCAAGGGGATTGTGCAGCGGGAAAAGGCCAGTATCAAAAGTTTCCAGAATGCGTAATTTCATTTATATAATATTCTTGAAATGACAAAAATTAGAAAGATGGAAAACAGGTTCTTGGTGCAAGGTTTGAGGGACACTTGTGATAGAACTCTTCTGTATCTTGACTGCTGTGGGGGTCACACAAATCTACACATGTGAGAAAATCCCACAGAACTAAACACACACACACACACACACACACACACACACACACACACACACAC